AAAAAATCTCGCCCTCATTTCCTCTAAAGCCTTCAATACCGAAAGAGGAGTAAGAAAAATAGACATCAAGTAGCTCCCTAACGATCCTAACACAAACATTACCAACGTAAACCGACCTCCAAATCAAATACACTTAGCCTTCCAATTTGAAAGCTTAGACTGAAACCTATCAATCACAGAAACCCAAGAAGAAGTCTAATTCATAGCCTGACCCACTGAGATACCAAGATGGGAAATCGGGAGAGTAGAAGCTGCACAACCAATCCTATTTTCCACAACGAGAACTTAGGAAAGAGGAATTCCCACACCAATCAATTCACTTTTAGTCAAATTGATTTCCAGCCTAGAAGCCAAATAGAAACACATGAGAATACGAATAAGACAATTCGCATTTTCAGGATCCCAAGAAGAGACCAACATAACATCATCATCGTGAAGGAGATGAGAAATCTCATTTCCTGAAATAGAAATTCCCATGAAAGCATTCCCCATTCGAGCCCTCATCCAAGCAACATGTAAACTAGACCTAGTAATTTGATACACGACATGATTAACAAGAAACGAACACGATACGAGTTTTCCGTGTATGTGTTTTAGAAATTCATGTTTCGTGTTTATTCGTGTCTGACATGTATTTTAAATTCGTGTTTTGTGTCTTATATGTGTCAAACACGAATTTACCTGTTTAGACACATATAAGACACTATAAAAATTCGCATTGACATGTGACACGTACAAACACGTATACACACACATATATATATATATATATATATATATATATATATATATATACACACTTTAGTGTTAAATTTTATATTTATAATATATTAAAGACCAATTTCATAAAAGTCAATAATTAGTTTATAGCCCTAGCTTAAAAAATCCATTAAAAACGTGTTTTTGTGTAGCACGGCTGAAAAACGTGTCTATTCGGGTCGTGTCATGTGTCACACAAATTTTTTTACTTGTCGTGTTCGTGTTTGATATCCCAAACACGTTTTATAATTTGTGTCATGTTCGTGTTTAACAAATTCGTGTCGTGTAAATTCATGTTTGACACGAATACACGATACACAGACACGGATTGTCAGGTCTAATGTAAACCCTCCATAGCCAAAATCAAAAAAGAAAAGGGGACATTGGATCACCTTGTCTCAGCCTACGATGAATTTGGAATTCATCTATCGGGGAACCGTTAACCAACACTGAAGCCCTAGCAGTGGTCAATAACTCCTTAATCCACCGACACCACATAGAACCAAATCCCATAATCGACATGATTTCCATTAAGTAATCCCATGATAACGAATCATACACTTTCTCGAAATCCACCTTAAGCAGCATCATAGGATTTCTAGAAGCCTTACTCCAAGCTACCATTTCATTATGGAGAAATGGACCATCTAGAATCTGTCTGCCTTTGATAAAGGCAAATTGTTCAAGGCTCACAACACTATGAATAACCTCCAGAAGACGATTTGCTAGAAGTTTACCAATAACTTTTTATTAGCAACCAATAAGACTAATGGGTCTATAATCTTTTGGAGTCTTCGGGTCTCTGACTTTTAGGATGATAGTGAAAAAGAGGAATTACACCCCTTTGGAATAAAAGAATGATGGAAAAAATGATTAACAAACGCCTCAACATCAGTTGCAACAAGATCCCAGTATCATTAAAAAAAACCCAAAAGTAAAACCATCAGGTCTTGGGGCCTTAGTAGAACCACAATCATAAACTACCCTTTGTATCTCCTCATAAGTAAAAGGAGACTACAAAAAATCAACCTGCAATTGGGTTAGTGTACTAAAAAGAGTAGGATCCGTCGCAGGTCTCCACAAAGTACAATCCTAAAAAAGAGATTGAAAATAGTCATGAAACCCCTCTTTAACCCTAACCGGGTTATCCATCCACACTCCATCAATCATGAGATGGATATAAAATTTTCTCCTTTTTATAGTTAATAATCCCATGGAAAAATATGGAGTTCTCATCCCCTTTAATGCCCTACTTGATTTTAGCCATCTGAGCAAGATCAACCTGAAGTAAATGATCAAGATCCGACATCTCCTTCAATAAGGATACTCTCTAATCTCTCAAAATAGGAGACTCTTCATCCTCCATGAGACTACTATCAATAGTCTCTAATAAATCTTGCATACTCTTCCTTTTAATACCCACCATGTCCCGGTGATTACAGTTCTACACCCTTACTTTAGATTTAAGAAGCTGAAGTTTTCTCTTAAAGATGGCCCAAGGGTTAATCAACTCTGTCCCCACCATCAAAGTAGACCAAGCCTCATGTAAAACATTATCAAAACCATCCATATCAAACCAAAAATGGAATAAACGAAAAGGTGACGGACCATAATCAACCCGGTGCTCCAGCAGAAGAATATGATGGTGACCAAGAATATTCTTTTCCAAGACAATAGCTAAAAGACGAGGAAAAGAAACCAAAAAACCTTCTGTGACCAAAAATCTATCAAGCTTGTTAAATTTGGAACCCCATTTATTACTCCAAGTGAGATGGGGTCCACCCAAAGGAATATCCACAAGATCACGAGAGTTAATAAAATCATTAAAAACTCTCACATAAGACATTGAAATTTGCTCCTAATCTCTGAGAATCATCTCTAACTTCATTAAAATCACCCATAGTAATACATTCACCCGAGAAGTTGGAAATAGTATTATAAATTTTGTTCCAAACTATTTTATTATTTAATCCTTGAGGAGTATATATAACAATAAAAAGCACTTGAAGACCCAAACGAACCCAAACCGCCTTAATAGCAACAAACCCATCATGAATAAAAACTCGATTGTGGGAAATATAGTCTAAATCCCAAATAAAAAGAATACCATCGGGAGCTCCATGAGAAGGAGAGATAACATGCATAAAAGAAGAATGACGCCAAAAGGATCTACCCATAACTAAGTCAACACACTCCAACTTAGTTTCTTGTATTGGCAAAAAATTAACTTTATGTCGAGTACACAATTTTCTAATCCAACCCCGCTTATCTAAGGATCCATCCACTTGAATATTTATCGAAAGACAATTCATTTTGGAAATTGTCTCTCAACGTGCCCTTTTAAGATTTCTCTAACACGATCCATGCAACCGTCGATATTATACCCCAACGATTCTCCCATTTCAATAGTTTTATGTAATTCATTTAAAATGAATTATTTTTATTATCACCGTCCGATACACTTTGATTATTCCCCAAAAAAGAAAAACATTGATTTGAAAAACCCAAAGGATGAGAAAGATCATCTTCAAAATAATTAATACCCAAAACCCGTCTAAAACCTCCAAAAAAACCCACTGAATTACTATGGACCCGAGCCTTAGAAGGAAAATCTTCAATAAAACCATCATTGTTACCCCCAAAATTCTGATTAACTTTACAGTTATTAGTAAGTGGAGATGGCAGAATAGGAGGAGAAGCTGTCAGAACAACATTAGGAGCTGATGATGGAGCTGCTATCAGAATAGTGATAGCAGGAGTTTCTGTTAGAACAGTAGCAATTGTAGTTGCTGCCAGTGGAACTGCTTGCTGTGAAGATCACTGCACTCGATCAAAAATATCAGGAAAAGGTTCAACAATTGGAACTGAAACAGAAACGACAACACGAGGGGAAGATGGCAAGTTGGATTTTTCAATTTTTGAAGCTGAATTTCGAGAATGCTCCTGGGAAGAAAACTTGTGCAGCTTGGATGTTTTATTTAACTTCTCTTCATTATCTAATTTTTCCATTACATCATAAATACCAAAAGGATCTAGTGAGGCATCTTCCTTGTCAGCTAATGAAGCATTACTACCATCTTGTTCAAATCGGTCAAATGCATCTACACTATCATTATCAATATTATTAAAATCACACACAAAAGAGGGATTCCAACCAGGATCTTTTTTGACACAAATAGGGAATATTTCACCAACAATACTAGCTTTGGTCACTTTAGAAATTATACCAAGAAACGAGGTGAGAATGACACGTCTTCTCCAATGTTATCATCAAGATGAGAACTTGAACCCCATTTGGCCAAGATTTGTCTAAAAGAATTTTTACTCCAAGCATGTAAGGGTAGACCTTCAACATCAACCCACACAATACGATCGAATGGCACAAAGTTTTTTTCCATTTTCTTTTTTCAGAATTCCAATGATTGACTGCATTACAGGTCAAGAAGTTTTTACATGCATCTTTTGACTTAAATTCAAACATCACCCAAAGGCCACCCATATACCGAATAGTAAAATTATCAAAACCTTCATCATGTCACACCATTCCCAAATTAGGAAGAGTACTAAAGTCACGAGCCTTAGCTAAACACACTAACTTTTTGTTGTCAATAACAAAATTCCCAGAATCAAGAACAATGATCGAATCTTCTTTATCTGAAAATGGTTTATCACTATGACTACCTCTTGCCACATTTGCATATGATACAGATAAATTCTCCCTTTTCTTCTCAACCTTAGGCAAGACCTTATGGATATTAAGATCTTTCCTAGGAGTGGGAGGAACAGAAGCAAACATCTTGTGTTACTCGAACCACACATCACAGAGATTCTTGATCATATGATTAACATTTACACTACCTGAAAATCTAACAAAACCAAAATGTTTCCCCATACATGACATCTTTTTGGAGATAAAAACATCACAAACTTTTCCAAACCGAGAACATGTACACCATAAATCGAAATGAATGATATATTCTGGGAAATTCGTAATATAAAAGGATTGTGAATCAGACCTGGGAGTTGCATGAAATATTTCATTGGAACCAACATGATTCCTATTTTTCTTCCAACCCTCACCACACAAGAAATTGAGATGATTAGAAGCCATTGGGATGTTCAGTCTTGATTAGAAAATACTCCACAATACATGTATTGCACCAGAACCAGAAACCGGGATCACCCCAGAGAAGAAATCAATTAAAAGAGAGAGTGCAGACGTATGGACCGAGCCCTGTCGTCGTTTTCTCCCGTCGGAGAAGAAGGGCTGAGCCGGAATACAGCGCCACCGATCAATCAATACTTTATGAAATCGCCGGAAATTTTAGGGCACGTTTCGTTGTGCAAAAATTGTTTCATTTTTTTTTAGAAAACATTTCAAAAAATAGAATTGAGTTTTCGTTTTTAGTTTTTAATAAAAGTTATAGAAAACTCGTTTGGTTGAAACCAATAGAGTTTTTATTTTACGTTTTAAAATTTTAGATAACTTTGGAAAACTGTAAAAACCACTTTTCTAATTTACATACAATTTGGAAAACATAAAATTTTCGTTTCCCTGGAATTTTTTTAGAAATCGAATCAACCAAATGCATTTTCAGAAATTTTCATTTTCATTTGAAAATTTTCATATAAAACTGGAAAAAAAAGTTTCCCACCAAACGCACTCTTAGTCTTTCAAAAAAAAAAACCTAATATACTCCACTGCTCTTTTTTGTGATAGTATATTGATCAATGGTTGAGAATTAAAACATTATGTCTTTCAAAAAATCATTAGCTACATAAGTTGCTAGGATTTTTGCATCAAAAAACAAAGCATGGGCACTTCAATGTAGGTGGTGAAAAAGGAAGCACATATTGTATGGTTTTTAATCAAGCATGATTCAAACGAGCATAAGTTGTCTCAAGGAGTTGATCAAATATAGTTTTTGAGGCATACATGTAGAAATATTAGCATGGAGCAAATAAGATATTTAAAGCCCCATAATGTTAGATTATAATTTAGCAAAGGTGTAGAAACACCATTATATATTGATATATGTTTTATTTTTTTTAATGAATTCTGAGTGTACAAATAACTTTCCTAATTCCCATATTTTTTTAATGAAATGTTATTGATTAAATTTCTAGATAACTTTTTACTTTGTTAACTGACCTTGTGAAGAATGGTTTAGCTATTTCCCATGATAATTCTTACTTTCATTTCAAGCACATAACATCATCCAATTTTCTTTTTTAACTAATAATAGCAACATATATTCGTTTTAATCATACAATAGCATCATACTTTCTTTTTTTCACAAAATAGCACCGATTTTCATTTTTATCACAAAATAGCATTACACTTTTATTTTTTCACAAAATGGCATCATACTTTCGTTTGAAACAAATAGTAGCAACCAAATTTCAATTTTAAATACATAAGTCATAAACAATCAACAAATTTCATTAGAAAACATTAAAACATGTTAAGAAACATAAACTTTTTCCAAATTCTTCATACATCGTTAACCAAAAAGGAATGTAAAAAATGTCAAGAAGCATATGGATTTTTCTTTTGCTCATAAAAACTACACATCTCATCATTGTTTCTCTTGCAACAATTCATCTGTCTGATTCATGAAAAGTAATTTTTTTAATATAATTATCATAATTCTAAAATATTGAAAAGTAATTATTTTTTATAAGTACCTTTCTGTTTGAATAACTAGTAGCATAATGACCCCATCATTGACAATAAGAGCATGTTCGTTTTTTTTTTGGTGCTCCTAAACAAGACTTGATCTACAAGAAATTTTAGGATGCCCTTTTGTAGTAGTTAGACCAAGAGGATCACAGATAGATAACTGTAGCATCATATATACTTGCAAAATTCCCATACAAGAAACTTAAGATGCATTCTCAAAAGATATAGGTTTCTTTCGAATTGTTTGATCATCTAAAAGACAGAATAATAGCTTATTGATTTTCTATATCTTTGAAGGGGAGTATCTTACTTATTCATTTAGTTTAGTAAAATATGAACGATCACACCATAACATTAAGGCATTAACTCTATATTCATTATTCAATTCTTTGAGTCTGATACAACCACTACCTAGTTTGTACCTAATATTAAGGGTCCATCGTGGCAAAATATAGTGACTTCGAAGTTCTTCAACATGCTTCTTCTTCAATAGATATAGGCTATGCTTGCATAAAATCCCATTTGCCTCATACTTAGCAGACAAACATCTTGCATTTACTTGATCCATGTAACATCGTGATTTTTCACCTATTTTTTATTTTTTTTAAACATTTATTTAACAGAATGCGTTAGCGAATGTTTTATTTTGAATTACTTGAAAACATCACCAAAGTTGCTTTTATTACCAAAACAACATTTATCAAAATTAAAGCTCATAAACCAATGCAAAGCAAGTTGTCAAAAAAGTGTTATGAAAACCCAACGACATGTCCAAATGGTATCAATACTAAGACATATACTTGGAATATAACTACCCAAAAGACCCCAAATCTTAATGAGGCCATCTCATCATGGTACCTATACTAATGAAAGGAAAAAATACCATAAGCAAATGCTAAGTGAGTCAACCATAAGTACAATGTTAGGAAAATGCACATAACATATCATCACATACACCACATGCATCACATACGACACATACTTCACACTCATTACATACATCACATACATCACACACATCATATACATCACATACGTCGCATGTGCATCACTAAAGTATCATTAGGGTCTACCATTATTATTTATCTTTTAATGGTTGATAATTATTAATTATTCCTAGCCATGGGTCTATCATTAACCCTCAAGGTAGACTTCCCACCAATGGTTCCATCACTAACCCATAAAGTGGACATCCTACACGTAGGTCCATTACTAACCTAAAGGAAAAACCCGTTTACTACTAAGTGACTGAACCAACCCTTCCCCCACTAGGACCATCACTAACCCAGGTTCCATCACTAACCCAAGAGATAAACTCCTCATTCACTAATAACATGACCAACTTGATCCAATGCGCTAAGTAAGGTGCAACTCTCACTCGTAACATTTCTCCCGGTCTTCTGCATTCGCTACTCCGAAGTTGCACATACAAGTACGCACATTTCCATTTGAGAGTGGTACTTTTCATTGTTTCCCATCACTAGAAACTTCCCACTCAAATGTGATATTTGATCCAGCTCCATCACTACGTCGATATCACTCTAGTCCTCGAATACCTTGGTTTCCATGAACCATATCCCGAATGGTGCTATTGAAAAACCACTCGGCGTCACTATTGGCTTATGATCGTTCCTTTTTAGGTGTCTTTCAACCAATAAGGCCGTCATAAGTATCCGAATAGGGTACACACAGCTAAGTCTAGGTTGCTACCCTTTACGCCCCATTTAGTGTATCCATGCTTTTAATTAATATATTATTAACTCATCACATGAGGATTACACTACAACATCCCTCAGTAATCATGCTTAATTTCTACTAATATTAACTGGCATATTACTTCCATAATCGACAAAATGTAAACATGCAAATAGACAAAAAAAAGTTAAGGATTTTTACAACTTTATATAATAATGCTCATATCATCACTTTATCATTAAGGCATACTATATCATTAACATGCATTGTCCTAAACATCAAAGACACGTATTTATAGAAAAATCATAGCTTGCACATACTAGACACAACCAAAACAAATCCCTCTTTCTATAATGGACCTATCACACTTCTCACATTAAATAGAAAAAAAAATAACATGAGGAAACATCGTTCACATCAACATATCATTTACAATTGGTGTACATACGACCTAAACGACCTAGTTTCATTCCAATCCCTCTAAGATGTGGAATTCCTAACAAGTACTTTAAATCACCAAAAAGATTAATTCACCTTTGTCAAAAAGAACCCTTTCCACACTTCAAATATTATAGTACTTGAGGTATCAGACTTTTGATGGGTTTTGATCACTACAACATCCCTATGGTGTACATGCAACCCTAATGCTTCGGATCTATATTTTTCTCAAGTTTTACATGCAAATCAAGTTATCCAAAGCATACACCCTAACTAGCATGAAATTTCGGAAATCATAACATAATACAAGTTTAGAAGAAAACCTTTTGATTGTAGCTTGTAGATCTTGACCTTCAAGAGCCTAGTGCCTCAATTGTTGCACCTGAAAAGGATCACAAACACCAAGTAGTAAGTTGGAAGAATATGAGAGAGGTTTAGGAGGCTCAAAATCGGCCGGTATTCCTTCTAGGGTTCAAGTGGTCGCTTTTAGGGATCCAAAGGGTTGCTTATATAGCTGAGCTACTAGGGTTTTAGGTAAAACCCTAATCTAGTTCCTTAGCCTCAAGCAGCCCTCAAGATCCTTCTAGAAGGCCCTATGGTCGAAATATATGTGGACTCCCTCATAGAATTCATCCATCCCTTCCTTAGGGATCCATAAGCCCAACTTTGCAATTAGCTTATAATTACAATATCAATCCCCTTAATTCAGTTAGTCTCTTTTGATCACCAAATTAATTTCTGATCAATACTAATTAAATAATATGATTTCTCAATTATCATATTATTCTTATAATATATTAATAAATCACAATTAACCTCTTTCTCCATTATTCATGCAGTCAAGTTGCTATAGTGAAGGCAACCCAAAAGGACCATGTTACTATCAGGTCAAGTACATACCAATTATAGTTATGGGCTTAGACACCTAATCCAACAATCTCACACTTAGATAAGTCTAATAACTATAACTGCAAGTACAA